TAGGGAACAGTATGGAGAATATGCATACTGATGTTAGGGTGTAAAGGATTTATTAAGAAGCCTGAATGCGCATTCAGCTCGAGCCGCTACTATCAGGTTACTTGTTATCCCCTGGCTAAGGCCTGTCAACCAGACTAGGCACTATGTGTCCTTCAGAGTGATCCTTATTATTTGTGAATCATTCTAACCACAATATCGTCATTTAATTTTTTGTTATGTATTTCTAAGTAGTTGACCAGAGATCCTCATGTCGTGTGCGTGATCCTTTTGTGGATCAAGAGAGGAACTTCCTAACCTGCTTTGAGACCCAGGTGTTGGTTCGGCTTAAAGCTACAACGCTTGGCTTCTCAGACGGCAGTTGCTGCTGTCATAGTTTTAGTCTCGAAGAGAATAACAGAAGTCATTTTTGTGCGTTTATGAAGTGAGCGAAAGTAAGTGGGGAAAACTGAAGCGAGCAGGTGGAATGAGAGGCGCGTTGGAAAGAGCGCGTTTCTGGTTTCTCGCGTTCTCCTTTCCCAAACCTACAAAAACAAAAAGCAAAAACAGAAAGAAAGTGACTCTTGAAATGCCAACAAGCATGCCAATATGCACCCGAGCCTATATACAGCTCGTGTTTCTGTAACAGTCTAACAAACCCGTGACTGGGGAGGAGTTTGAACTAAAGATCCAAACGGAGTGTTGAAGCAAAGATAAGACTGTTGACAGGCAGAAAGTCCCAGTCACCACTGCCATGAATCACTAGAATTTCGAATAATTACCCGTTCAAATGCGCCGGCGAGTGAGCGAACAAGTTGTGTTTTTCATTTTATTATTGGTAAAGGCTCTTGTCTAAACCCAGACGATTTCCTTCAGAGCTTCTTTGTCGTGTCTGCATCGGAACCAAGAGAGGAGCACAGGACCGTTTGTTAGGTTGCATTATAAATAGGGAGGTCACGAAAAAATTAGCGTACAAATTTTGCGCTATATAAGTATTAAATTTATTATTATCATTTCGGTTCTATCGCTTGTTTTTAGCCCACATCCGGAATGGATGGGGAACTGGGCACTTTGCAAGGAAGGGCTGCTAAGCTTCAACATGGCGGACGGAGTATTAAAAATGACAAAAATCATTATGGCAAGTAATTGATTTTAATTCGAAATGTATGGTGGTCCTCGTCGTCCGAACTTCTCGCCTTTTCAAGGGCGAGCGAGAGCACCTCATCCTAACTTTAGACCGCGCTTCGAGAATCCGGCTTCTCTTCCTCCTGGTCAAATGATTTATCCATCTCAAAGACAACGATTTCCATCCTCACCACAGAGGCAGCAGTTTATGAATAATCCTGGTCCACTAGGACCGAGACCAGGTTTTCAGCCAAGACCTTTCCAGGCAGGTGGACCCAGACAACGCTTTCCACAAACGGAATATTCTGGTCAACCGAGATGGCCCCACAGGGTACACGGAAATAAGTTTAAAATTATATAAGTAAACTTGTCAGATTATTATTAATGATGCTGATCATCCATCTCGATAAAAATGGCAAACTAAAATCAAAAGCACAAAATATCGACCCTTTCACTTACAAGTACCACATACCTGTTCTCTTTTCTGTCTACTGAATATTTCTCCTTATTTAGCTTTGATGTGATATCAATCAATATAAGCCCCCCCCCCCCCCTTATTTTGGGTAAGAAAAAAAAGAATTGCAGAAGGAAGAAAAGTCAGTAGGGCAAGTGACCAGGTCCCCCTCTTAGCTCAAGGTGTGGAACATCCCAACAGTTAAAAAACAGGCTTATTTTAGCTTGTTATCAGAGAAAGTTTTATTCAAGGGTTTATTGAAGAAATTTACTGACATTTTGGGGTTTGGAATATTGCAATAGTGATCATTAACTCTATTGCAGTAAATTATTCCAACCTAATAGTGAAATTTTATTTTGTAGTCTGATTATCTGCCTGAGAGTACTCCTGAGAAGGACTGATATTGGTAGTGATTATTGTCAATATATTTCATAACCTTAATGGAGGTCATCATTGCACTCAAGTTATCTCTGAAGATTAATTCCACTAAAGTTGTGAAAAAAACATTCACTTCTACAGCCACTACTACCAAAACAGTCATGATAAAATATAGGAAAATAAACACAGTCTGCACAGTCTGCAAACTGCATTTTAGCATGACTGCTACCAAAAGCTCTCTTGGGACTATTCTCACCCGGACTATCAGACTACACGACCAATTTCCCTATTTATTAAGCTTCTCCCCCCACCCCGCCTTAGCTGAACTTGGCTCAACCCTTAAACTCCCATGAGCGACCAAGACAGAATTTCTCCTGGCAATATCAATAAAATTTCAAACAAACAAGTGATGAGAAAAATTAAAAATATCAATTAGGGGATTATCAATTGAACCAATACCAAATTCTCCAAACTAACATCACAAGAATTGTATGGTAGACAGGAATGAGATCTTGGGAGTTTAATGGTTAAACTGAGGATTTCTCAACAATCTACTTCCTTTCACCTTGCAGAATACACTTTTTTCTGTCACGCTAAATCAAGATGACACTTATCGGGCAAAATTACTTCCTCTTTCCTTCCTTAATGTTGATCACTCTTTCAGTTTTCATGGTGAAGTCACAGTTCATTTTTCATGTTATTCGCAGGGTAGAGGAGGCTTCAAGAGAAGAGACCAAGATTCACCAGGAATTGAAGCTTATTACAGGCACTCAATGGTTGAAAATCCATGGAGAGAGCTTGAAGAAAAATACAAAGACAGAATTCAACAAGAATGAATGGCTTTTGAACTGTTCGCCATTGTATACGAACATTTTTTAAGGAACAAATTTTTTTTTGTATATATTTAAAAAAGAAACATTTGTGAAACATTTGAGGAAGTTTCAATTATCTTAGCTTTCTATGTACACAATGCTTCTTTGAAACCCTAAGAATAGTGCGAATAGTTTTTGAAAGCACACTTATGTTGATTTTAAGTTAAGTTTACCAATAAAAATCAAGTTGCTGGCATCAAAACAATACTTTTAACTTCTGCTCCAAATACTCCAAAAATGATGATGATGATGATGATGATGAGGATAAGAATATTAATGAAGAGAATTATAATTGAAACAATGATAATGAAACAGATAACAGAGGGTGGGTGAGGGGGAGGCTATAAACATTATGCACTTCTGACCATACAGTCATCTTACTTAAGTGATTTTCTGTGGGAAAATGGCAATACATTTGTTTCTACCATTTCAAATAAGAGGACAAGTAATAAAATTATCTTTGTAGGTGAGATGCATGTAAAGAAATTTCAGAAAAAGAGTGTGAGTGTAAAGGCATGGGATTTGAATCTTTCAAGTGTTATCTTTCTCTAAAAGTATGTAACTTCTAATATATAGATTTAGGCAAGCCTAAAAGCAGAGCTTGCATTTTTTTCCTGCACATCTCTTCAGCAAAACTAAAGCTCCTACTATGGATAAAGTGCGTGGTAATATTAATGGATTTTCATTTGTAACTTCTCCGTGTCTGTGTAGAGGACTGATTATAAGATAGTGCCCGTGGTACAGTTGGCCGCGCATGCTAAAAGTAGCATCTTGTACAGTTTTACAGTCGTACGGTTGTACATCCAAATTTTTTCGGCTTGATGGGTCACTACTATTTTGTATAATTATGGGGCTACGCTCTGTGAGCTCTGCTGATAATGCTGTGCATTATTCTGCAAACAGGTATTGAGAATACTCTAACTTATCAGTTATTTTGATTTAACACCAAATTCTCGTCACTAGTTTACAAGGAATTAGGTAACAACTAGAGGGGAGATTAACAATCATCTTGGGAGTTCAAGGGTTAACTGAATATCATCAATGAGGATCATGTTCTTTCCTTGTATATTATCTGCTTGTCAAATTGTGAATTTTCATCTAATTGTGCTTAAAATAAGAATAACTGGCTGAACAGGAAATTTTTTGAACATTTGAGATACATTTCAGATAAACTGTTATTGGATATAAACTTGTGTTGTACCCAGACCTTCCACGGCCAATTTCAGTTTTACGGTAAGATCGGGGTACGAGATTTGACATGAACAAAGGATGAGAAAATGAAATGAAAATGCCTAAGGCAATCTTCTTAATTTGTCTATCATGATAGACTCAAGCTAGACTCCCAACATTTTTGTTTCTCTCATACTCGTCTTTGATGCATAGCCTTGTAGTTTATCGTTTTCCTCTGCAATTTGTCTGACAACATGTCCTCAATACCTTAGCTTAAAACTTTCAACCGGAAATGCTAATTTCCTCGTGGAGTCAGCTCGTAAAAGCACATGACGTAACCGGAAGTGATAATTGACCAATGAGGCCTTA